AAGGATAGGGAAGTCTCCAAACAAATGTATTAAATTTTATTCTTTAGAACCAAACTTGTATTTACAGTACTTTCGTTTTCGGTATCACAGTATTTTTTGCATGTATCTACTCCTTTTGTCTTCAGATTGGGGCAAATAGGGTTTCATTGAAATAAATAAGTAAGTAAGTAAGTAAATAAATAAATATATATATAAATAAATAATTATTAGGATGCCTGGTCCATGTATGACTCAAACTTGTGGATCATCACACTGTCTGACATAGATGTATTGGAAGTAACTGACTGTGCATATTTTTAAAAACAAAATCTGTTGTTCTTGTACCATTTAAGATGACTGCCATCCAGCTGGGCCCAATTAATTACACAAGAGGCTACACTGATGTAATTGTTCCACACTTCCATAAGTGTTTTTAGGAGATGAGTTCATCTCTCTGTATGTGGAACAGAAGCATTTTTCCCTATTTTTGAACTTGCACATGACCTGTATTTTTTTAGGAAGACTCCAAGGTGAAACATCAAGTCTACATCTTCAATAGTTGAACATCCCAACTTTTACACATTGGATTGTTCATGTATAAGATAAATATCCACAATCAGGTATTTACTAATATCAAGCCCTACATAGGGAGAGATTAAATACTTGCAGAATGCATGGTATCCCACACAGGCTGGGGGACCCAGTTGGCTGCCAAAACTGCACATCTCTCTACACACATCTAAAAACATACAGCACCCCCTGACTGGTGGCAGCTATGACTTCACTAAAGCATTGTCATTTCTGCCAGGCAGCATTTTTACTATCTCTTATTCTTCCCAGAAATGGATTTAAGTTACAATAGTGAAGTCACACCCACACCCACACCCATACCACCTGCACCCACTCCAATAGCTCTGGAATCAGGCTATTAGAAGGGCCTCGGTATCTTTTTAATATATATTATTGCTTGCTGGTTCAGTTGTGAGACCGAAGCAGACACAATAGAAATCATGGAAGAGTTCAAGGTCCAATCAAGATCTTTGCACAGCCCTACCAAATATATTCATTTGGTTTTAATGAAAAGTTTTTGTCTCAATATATGAAGTAATTTTGAAGATGGCCTACTTATTATTACCAATCTTTCTGTGATATGTAGAACTTCAAAATTAGGCATTTCTGGGACTGCTGGATAATGGTCTGTACATAAAGCCCATCATGAAGATAAAAAGTTAGACAACAGAACTAAAGAAAATTCTTGATGTATAACAGAAGCATCTGGAAAGAATTAGATCTAAAAATCCTAACTGTATCTAATTATAATAACACTAAATACTTCCAGTAGAAAAACATGTTACTCTTCCATTCTGCTATTCCAAGTCTCGTGCTTGCGTGTGTGTGTGTGTGTGATATCTTGAGAATCATCACTGCTCCCCTCATGTATGGCAAGAACACCTGGACCTTTCTTGTCCTCTAGGTGGCAATATTGACTAATGCTTTCTTTTTTCACTACTCAGGACACACATCCCACCTCCATACAAAATATGTCCTAAATAAAATTGTAGATTATTCTATTGAATATAAAACTGACAGGCCTGATATTTTAAAACTTGAAACTGACAGGCTGCTATTTTAATGAGGCCTGCCAGAGCCAAGGTTAACCAAAACCTTCGTTCATTACAAAATGTTAAGACCTCAATTCGCAGCAAGAGAAGGAAGAACGTTATGCCTAGTGATATCTTGACAGGGTTCTCAAAACTGCATCATGAATGTGTTTTGCAAACTTATGCCTTCTGATTTGTATAAAGTATAACTTTAAACAAATTTCCTTTCATTCCTTTTTTTTAAAAAATAACAACACATGATGGGCAATTCTTTCTAAAAACAAATGAGTATTGTATTGTAGCTGTTACCTTTATTATCTGGTATTTCTACTGGAAAAACAAGCCTTTATTCTTAAAGGGGATTTTCTTTTGTTATTTAAAAAAAACTTTAAAGAAATATAAACAACAAAATATTATTTTATATTGATAATAACCTCATACTTTACTTAAGAGCTCTGATGTGAAAGCAATTAGCTTACTAACATCAATTGGGGTGTTAACATAGTAAGAACCACGTTGGGCCAGATTAAAAACTGAGTCGATTTTTCTGTACCTACATCAGCCAATGAAATACCTCTGAGAAAGGTTTGATAAGCAGGACATCTCTTCTGGAATACTCTTCTGCTAGGAATTCTTGTTTATGCTGAACTCCTCTTATGTATACATGTGAACATACATACACACACCTCTACATTTCAAAATCACAGAGTTTCCAATAACTTCAGTTTAAAGAAAAAAAAAAACCCTTGCTATGCAAGTGAGAACTAGTGTGCAGACTACTACAAGATAGATACCCATGGATAGACCTGAAATTAATGTGTTTATTTTCTTTTGATGCTGCTCAAGATTAAAAAAAAAGAGTTGGAATTCCTTTTGGACTGAAGAAATGATATGACAGTACAGGTGTTCTTGATTAACGACCACTCGATCAATGATGGTTTGAATTTGTGACAGTGCTGAACGAATGGTACTTACGACAGGTCCTCAGAGTTCCGAGTGTCGCAGTATCCCCGCAGTCACGTGGTCACTATTTGCAACCTTCTCTGCTGACTTCTGACAAGCAAAGTCAATGGGGAAGCCAGCAGGAGGTTGCAAATGGTGACCGCATGATGTCCTTGCTTAATAATGCACTTAACAATTCACTTAATGACAGCAACTGGGAGAGCTGGAATTGCTGTTGCTAAGCGGCATGGTCACGTGATGTTGCGCTTTATAACCACATCACTTAGCGAAAGCAATTCTGGTCCCAATTGCTGTCGTTAACTGAGGACTACCTGTATATAAATAAATAAAACAGAATTGCACATGCTTAGCACTGCAAAGAACCTGTTAACTCTCTGTGCAATTTCTGTGCAAACACAGGGAACGCTATGCTATGAAAGATTAAGAAAGGGTCCAGAAGAAAAAAATTACAGCATCACAATGCTGTCTGTGACGATAATCATTTGTGTATTCATACTGCTCAGACAGGTTGTCTGTTTGCAGCCAAAATAATACTGAGAGACATAGCATCTTACATGATCAGATATCTTATGGCATGTATGTAGGGACTCAAGACTATTTCATCATATCTGTAAGTTATTACCTTAACTTGGCAGATATTTTATCCATACTGGTATACAAAAAATAAATGTAAATAGTGAGGTCAAAGAGAAATAAAATGGAAAAAAACCCAATTTTAGTAACTTTCACATTACAGCTGTTAAGTACTAATTACAATAACATTTGACTGTTTGAATAAATAAATCAATACTTAATTACAAATAGTGCTGATAATGCACATCTTTAGAGGGACAATGGTTTCATTATCTCCATTTAGGCCCTAAATCATACTTTTCCAAATTGGTTCCTTCCTAACTGACCTTCCAGAAAGATCAACAAGTGCTGTGCTGGCTCCTGAATTTGGGCAATTGAAATATGCACATGTGAAACTGGGCTCCAAATTTGGGAAGTATCATTAGATGACACAATAGAAGTTACACATAAGTTGTATTTCAGCTATTTCTTGCTACAGTAGGTTCTAATCACTCTTCT